TCCCCGGCGCGGCGCCTCTGCCAGGACCAAGGTTTTCCTAAGCACTTTCCAGAGCCCCACAGAAGCCACGCCGGAGCCTGCGGCCCAGCACCTGAGCCTCGAGTCGCCAGAGCCCGAGGGGGAGACAAAGCCAGCCGGTTCAGCAGCGGAGAACGGTTTCCAGGAGCATGAAGTGTGAATGTCAAGTAAGAGAACCTTGAGTGCGAACCAGCCCTCCCCCGATGACGGCAACATTCCCCACACACAGCAGTGACAAAACCACCTGCACCCCGTCGGGGACGGGCGTGGAAGCTAGGGGCCCCGGGGAAGGCCGGCGCCCACGTCAGTGTCCTTGAGGGCTGGCTGCACCGCCGCGACTCTGGTTACAGGTGGGAACTTCCAATCCATCCCCTCCCTCCTCTTAAGTACACACTGAAAATTCAGTCGGACTGAATTTATTCAGAGCTTACGGAAATGTTTTACACTGAGCTCTTTCATTGTTTGCAAAGGAACTAAAAGACAGAACGCAGGCTCCCTACCCAGAATCAAAGGACACCCAGAGATCTCACGGAGCGGGGGGCGAGGGTCAGGGCAACGCAGGCGGGCGGGCGGCTCACTCAGCAGCGCGCCAGGGTCAGGGCCGACTTGAGGAGCAGGATGGTGGCGGGGAGCCCTGGCCGGAGGGCCGAGGCCGAGCTGCTCCTTTTCTTGGGCCGGGGCCCGTTGCACAGAGGGGTGTTACAGCAACTGATGCACACTGAGTTCAGTTTCCCTGGGGAGCAGAAGGACTGGTACCCCGCCGAGGCGATGAGGCAGGCTGCCGAAGACGCGCAGGACTTGCGGTACATGATCCCTGCAACACAGACCCAAGGGAGTTGGTTAGCCTGCGCCCCTCTGCGCTCTGATCCCAGCGTGTCATCCCTCCTCGCACAGCCCAAAGGCTTGGCGGGGCAGGAAGGTGCTTTGTTTCACTGAGCCTCCCAAAATACATGAGGGTCACTGTAAAGAAGGCACTCATCATTTCACCACTTCTGACAGAACTGTCAAACTATTTGAGATGCAATGCTAGCAAATAAAGAGCTGTCAAACCAAAGTCCACTTTTTTTTAAGTTAGAATTCACTGTGTACTAGATACAGCTTTTTACTTTTGTTTGTTCAAACTATTTCATGCCACCACAAGCTGTGTGTCTAGGTCTAATTTCTATTATTACTTTATGAGGGACACAGAGATGGCTCTCAACTATGTATTTTATTAAATCATGGAATTTTCTAAATAAAAACCCTACTGAAGGGGCCCTGATTTTTCCCAGGTTGAGAGGATCCACAGGGTTAAGTGAGGGGTGGTCTGGCTGACGGTGTGTCCAAAAACGGCCTTATTCTCAGGCAAGCATTGCTCTTAGATCATATGGTCATTTGCCCAGGTAGTGCTTAACGCCTGTGTGGGCACATAAAGGAGCTTCCTGAAAGGACTGGAGGGCCCATCTTAAGGAGTACAAGTGTCATGTCCAAATTGCAGCACAGCCATCAAATTGGGTTGTCTTTGGTAATCATACGACTTTGTAAAGCTGGAAGTTTACTCAATTCAGCTAAGCTTATTTGATTTCCTGTATGCCAGGCACTCTTCAGAGAGCTATGGTGTCCCAGACCATTTACTACCTGCAAGGGAGGCCCCCATGGCCATCCCCATTTTACAGATGGGATGCCTAAGGCAAGAGAGGTTTAGCTAACTGGCCCAAAGTCACACTACTAAAAAGTAGAGCAGCTGGGATTTGAATGTAGTATTCTGGCTCCATGCCATTAAGTCCATATTACTGTATAGCAAAGCAGATAGTCAATAAATGACAAAATGGTTTGGTTTGTTTTCTTTTGGGGTGGGCTTTACTCTGAAGATAGCTTTTGGTGTATGTGTGGCTCTTTTGTATCACTTTTTTTTATTGAGAGATAATTTGACCAAAAATAATAAATATATGTAATGCTAAAGTTATACCTGGAAGTGAATGGTGTAGCCTCTTTGCTGCCCTGCACAGCTGAGGGGTACATTCCAGCAGTAGCCAGGGTGCCTTTCCCTCTGCCTCCCTGTAGGTGTATGTTTGCAGGTGTTGCTTTGGGGCTCCCCTTTCCCCCTGAAGAATGGCTGCTTTTGGTGCTGGAGAAGCAGTAAAGACTTAAGCTGCCTTAAACTTTCAAGAAGGGGATAAAGAAATGCCTTAGATTTACATTAAAACATGTAGTTTTGTCATTTTTTCCCCCTACATACGTTTGTATGGATTGATTTTCTACTACCACTAAAAAGGCCTGGAAGTAGCTGCTCTGGTAAGGTAATGCCCATGGACAAAGGAGGTACGCGGTGGGGAGAGAAGAGGCGCTGTTTAATTTCTAAGGAACATGCTACATAGCCTCTACATTTCCCATTCATTGCCCATTGCTGGAAATAAAGTTTTGCTCACTATCTCTTTATTCTTAAATATTAAAGCACTCTCTATCATTTGGCAGTTCAACTTCAGTAAACTTTTGCCTTTATTTTAAAAATTCAAAAATATTTACTGAATATATTTTTCACTGTAAAATATGTTTAGACTCCTTCCAGTCCCAGGTTCTCCTCAGAGGTATGCACTCATCAGTTTTGGATGCCTGTTTCTAAATAAAGTGTGTGCGTGCATGCACAAACATTTAACAGAATTACATCGTATATGCTATTCTATAATTTCCATTTTTACTTAATGACATGGCTGAGGATTAATTTTTAAGCCTAACAAAATGGCCATAAATGCATACATATCTATAATTACTTTAAATGTAAATGGACTAAATTCTCCAATCAAAAAGACAGGTGGTTAAATGGATTTAAAAAACAAGACCCATCCATATGCTGCCTACAGGAGGCTCACTTCAGGTAACACACACAGATTATGAAGGGGTGGGAAAAGATATTCCATGCAAATAGAGCCAAAAGAAAGCGGGAGTAGCTATACTTTTGTCAGACAAAATCGACTTTAAAACAAAGGTAATAAGAGACAAAAATTATGTATTACATAATGGTAAGGGGTCAGTCCAGCAAGAGAATATATAACATTTGAAAATATACACCCAACGTAGAAGCAGGTAAATATATAAAGCAGATATTAATAGGGCAAACGGGAGAAATAGACAGCAATACAATAGTTGTAGGGGACTTTAATACACCATTACATCAATGGATAGATCATCCAGACAGAAAATCAATAAGGAAACACTGACCTTAAAAACCATGTTAGACAAGATGGACTTAACAGAGATATAAAAACATTCCACCCAAAAGCAACAGAATACACATTTTTCTTAAGTGCACATTCAACATTCTGCAGGATAGAACATGTGTGAGGACACAAAATGAATCTTAATAAATGTAAGATTGAAATCATATTAAGCATGTTTTCTGACTAAATGATATAAAACTAGAAATTGGTTACAAGAAAAAATGAAAATTCACCAATAGGTGGAAATTAAACAACATGCTATTGAACAACCAAACAGGTCAAAAAAGAACACATAAGAAAAACAAGAAAAAAATACCTTGAGACAAATGAAACTTAAGGAATGTGGGAAAAGCAGTTCTAAAAGGGAGGTTCATGGTGATAAATGCCTATCTCAAGAAACAAGAAAACCCTCAAACATTATACTTCAGAGAACTGCAAAGAGAAAAAAAAAAGTCCAAAATCAGACAGTAATGAAACAAACTAAAAGACAATAGAAATGATCAATGAAACCAAGATATTTTGCATAAAAAATATAAACAAAATTGACAAACCTTTAGGTAGACTTACCGAGAAAGACTCAAATACAACCAGAAATGAAAAAAGAGACAAGAGATATTACAGAAATATAAAGGATCATAAAAGACTACTATGAACAATTATACTCCAACAATTGTACAAGCTAGAAGAAATGAAAAAATTCCTAGAAACATAACCTTCCAAGACTGAATCATGAAGAAATAGAAAATCTGAACAGACTAATTACTAGTAAGGGGATTGAATCAGTAACCAAAAACTTCCCAACAAACGAAAGTCCAGGACCAGACAGCTTCACAGGTGAAGTCTACCTAACATTCAAAAAAGAATACCAATCCTTCCCAAACTCTTCCAAAAAATAGAACAGGAGGGAACATTTTTAAACTCATTTTACATGGCCAACATTACCCAGATACCAAAAACCAGACAAGAAAACCACAAGAAAAGAAAATTACAGTCCCATATTCTTGATGAACACAGCTATAAAAATCCTCAACAAAATATTAGCAAAGGAAATTCAACAATACATTAAAAGGATTAATACATCATGATCAAATGAGATTTATTCCAGGGATGCAAGGATGGTTCAACCCCCACAAATCCATCCTTAACAAAATCAAGGATAAAATCATATCATGCCAATAGATGCTGAAAAATCATATGACAAAATTTAACATTCATTATGATAAAAACTCACCAACATGAGTACAGAGAGAACTTACCTCAACATAGTAAATATATGACAAGCCCACAGCTAACATCATACTCAACATTGAAAAGCTGAAAGCTTTTCTTCTAAGATCAGAAACAAGGCAAGAATGTCCACACTCGCTTGCCACTTTTATTCAACATAGTGTTGGAGGTACTAGTTAAAGTAATTAGCCAAGAAAATAAATAAAAGGCATCCAAATTGGAAAGGAAGAAGTAAAAATGTCACTATTTGTAGATGACATATTATGTATCTATTAAAATCCTAAAGACTACACAAATGAAAAACTAAGTTAATTCAGTCAAGTTGCAGGGCACAAAATCAATATACAAAAATCTGTTACATTTCTATACACTAAAAATGAACTATCAGAAAGAGAAATCAAGAAAACAGTTCCATTTACAACTGCATGAAAAGGATTAAAATACCTAGAAATAAATTTATCCAAGGAGGTGAAATACCTGTATATTGACAACTATAAGACACTGATAAAATAAATTTAAGAAGATGCAAATAAATGGAAAGATATGGAAGAATTAATAGTCTTAAAATGTCCATACCACCCAAAGCAATCTATAGATTCAACACAATCACTATCAAAATTGCAATAATATTTTTCACAGAAACAGAGCAAACAATTATAAAATTTGTATGGGACCACAAAAGACCCTAAAGAGCTAAAGGAACCTTGCTAAAGAAGAATAAAGCTGGAAATCACTCCCTGATTTCAAACTATATTACAAAACTATAGCAATCAAAACAGTATGGTATTGGCATAAAAACTGACAGATGAATAGAACTGAATGAAGAGCCCAGAAAAAAGCCTAAGCATATGTTAAATTGATTTATGATAAAGTAGCCAGTAACTTGCAATGGGAAAAGGAAAGTCTCTTCAATAAACGGTGCTGGGAAAACTGGATGGCGATGTGAAAGAAAAATGAAACTGGACCACGATCTTGAATCATACCCAAAAGTTTACTCAAAATGGATTAAAGACTTGAATGTAAGACCTGAAGCCACAAAATTCCTTAAAGTATACATAGGCAGTAAGCTCCTTGACCTTGGTCTTGGCAATAACTTTATTTGACAACCAAAGCAAAGGCAACAAAAATGAAAAACACTTGGGACTACATCAAATTAAAATATTTTTCACAGCAAAGGAAACTATTAACAAACTAAAAAGGCAACCTACTGAATTTGAGAAAATATTTTCAAATTAATATACCTGATAAACGGCTAATACCCAAAATATAGAAGGAACTCATACAACTCAATAGCAAAAAAACCAGAACCAACCAAATAACAAAAATAACCCAAAACAAAAACATCAAATAAAAATGCAGAGGATTTGAATAGACATTTCAAAAAAAGATA